GTGTGAATGTTCGCGCGAGAGAACGTGTCTAATCGGGCGAAACTGCGCAACGTGGCCGTTGAAAACTGCGCAACGCAGGGTTGACTCTGCCTACAAGTCCGTTCCCAAACATCAAAGCTTTTATGAATCAGAATAGCATAGAGGATTTGATGAAATTAATCTACGGAAACAACTAAAAACGAAACAAAAAAAGAAAGAACTGTCCACGTCCTCAATTGGTCAATTTGAACATTAGAAAAGTCATTAGAAAAATCCCTAATGACTGTATGACATTCTATACACGGATGTTCCGCGCGCGGCACCCTGCGACAGACGCGTCCTGACCCAGCAGTACACATGCGACTATTGCGACATGAACTTATGAATTCCACAATTTCTAGAGTTCCTACGTCCAGCTGTTTCGCTCTGTGCGTCGATCATCCTTTGATGAAAAACGGTTCGAAGCCATGTGACATTGTTCCGAATCGGTGCTGCCCAGCCTGGGTAGGGAAGGCGTGGATCATTCATAGTCAACTGAAAAAAACAGAGCAGTATTCGCCAAAAAAGCCTACTACAATTTTTACGGTGTTCCTGCAAAGTGGTACTAGGCCAGCTCACAAAAGGTTTGAAAAAACATTAGCTCGTACTTAACGGTATAAGAGAGTCGCAGCTGTGCGCAAATTTACACGTTGACGACAGGCTGACGCGCATGCGCGTCAGAAATTTGGCACCGCATCGGACATTCTGACGCGCATGCGCGTCAGAACTATGTCATTCATTTTTATGTGCTTGCGCTCCTTCTTCTCGAGTTTTTTGTATTCATTCTATAGATAATACATTAGCATAACTATAAACCACATGGCAGCCAGAGTGGTCAAATATCCCTTGATTTAGCAAACGCACAAAACTTTCATTTCAATTCTTTCCTAGTATTCCTTTCACTGTCGTAAACATTCATATGAAAGATTGTAGAAGCAGTTAATACAAAACTCTGTGAGTTTCAAGATATTTGTATTTGATGGAAGAACTTAGGT